TGTTCTGATGATACTGACCTCCGCCCTACCCCCATTTTGCCCCTACCACATGTCTTATCACTACTCCCACTGCCACCACGACTGCACCACTTCGACCACCACTACCATACCCTTTTTGCCACCACACCTTCACTACAATCATCAACCCTATAACCATCACCCCGCCACTGTCGATCTCACCATTGGAAGCACCAAAAGCCCCGTCTTCCCCAACCAGGGGCCTTTCCTACTCACCTGTACACCCACTGTACTCTCACCGCCACTACCACCACCATTAACACTGGGCCACCACTGTAATGGCACTACCATACTGTCTCGAGCACACTTCCACTGCTTCCACCATCACACTGTGGCCTCACTGCTGCCATTGCCACTACTATTGCTATTACAGCCACCACAGCCACTACCACAGCCTTACCACCGCTGTCACCATACTATTCACAAAGCCCATTTCGTACCATGGAAAGGCATCCAACAAACCAATAACTGTATTTCGACTCAAATACTCTTCCTGGAAAATGACCAGATAGCCAGATCAATTTTAAATGGAATGTATTTTCTTGTGCATGTACATCCAAACTGGCTCATATCTAATCAAATCAAGAAGCTTCTAGAATCTAAAGAGCACAAAAATAGGAAACTAATTCCTAAAATATGGAAAGAAGAATGATTAGATTTAAAAACAGACTCAACCTATCCTAATCTTAATGGCAAATGTGAGTTTTACTTTCCTAGTATTCCTTCTTATACAAAAAGATTTCCTTCAAAGCTATCAAGGCAAATGTATACCCCCTTCAGTTTAATGTGAAACATTCATCATACACGTTATCAGTTTGTTTCTGATCCTACACATTATATAAAATTGGTGGGTGGAAAGCACAGTAATTGTCCAGATATTATAAATGTAATTTGTGTGGTCAGTTGTTTTATAACGTCTACTTTTGGAAGCGACATTCGAGCACCGTGTAGGATTATATGGATATGCAGGCCCATACTGCAGAAAAATATTTTTTTTTGACATTTCTATCACCGTCGTTAGATTGCACAACTCATTTTGATTCCAATTGGGCTTGCTTTTCCTGTTTCAAGGCAATTGATCGACTGGATGTTACATATTTTTGCTAAGAAGGATTTGGTTTCTTGTTCTAGTATAGGTCCTGAGTATTCAAAGATATCTGTGACCTGCAATCAAATTGTTTGGTTTTGAGTGCCTCTTAGAGATCCCAGAGTTCCTGTCCTCTAAGTGGATCACAAAATGAACCACTTTTGTGCTCAGTCAGGCATGCCTTCGGGGAACATAATTGTAGGAGGATTGGCCGCCTTACTTTTTTGTTGAAAAAAATAAACAATGGGATAGACCAACAGTTTGTGGAAATACCACAATCTGGGCGTCATCTAAACGGGCCTCCTCTGGCTCCTCGCCCACCAGTGGGCTGCCACTCTTGATCTAACCCATTGAGCTAGAAAGTCCAATCTCTCTTTCCTCCCTCCCTCC